GTTCCTGCTGCTGCTGCCGCTCCTGCTCCTGCCGCTGCCGCAACTGCTGCCGCCGCAGTTGCTGCCGCTGCAGCCGCTTGAAGTTCCGCAGGAGCTGCTGGTGGGGGGACAATGCCAAGGAGGCGGATTGACGCCGATTTGGGGGCTCGTGCGGGTCGAGCCCCTTGGGCGGCGAGCGCGCCACCCTGCGGCGGCGCCTCCTCCTCGCTCTCCCGGAGGGGCACGGGGCCCACCGGAGGCCCTCGTCGCACCCCCAGGGCCCGCTTCCGGAGCTCCGCTTCAAGGCGGCGGGGGCCGTCGTCGTCGTCGCCGCCGGCAGGACGTCGTCCGAGTAGAGGAGGAGAAACGGCGTCACGGCGGCGCGACGAGGGGCGCAGCTCCAGGCCACGCGCAGCACCAGCGGCGGCAGCAGTGGGGAGGAGTAGGAGGGAGACGGAGAGGAGGAGGAGGAGTAGGAGGGAGACGGAGAGGAGGAGGAGGAGTAGGAGGGAGACGGAGAGGAGGAGGAGGAGTAGGAGGGAGACGGAGAGGAGGAGGAGGAGTAGGAGGGAGACGGAGAGGAGGAGGAGGAGGGAGACGAAGAGGAGGAGGAGGAGGGAGACGGAGAGGAGGATGGAGAGGAGGAGGCGGGAGACAGAGAGGCGGCAGGGTGGCCCAAGAGGCGCGACACGGGCCCCGTGACGTCCACCTGGAACCACTCGCCACCCAGCGACACCCTCGTCGTCGTCGTCGTCGTCGTCGTCGCGGGAGCCTCCGGCTCGGGGTCGTCCGAGACGGGGTCCCCGTTGAGGCTCTGCGCAAGGTCTGGGTCGGAGTCCAGCTCAGGTTTGGGTGTCGGTCGAGGGCTCCAGCCGGGGCTTGGCACCGTCTCGGGGTTTGAGTTTGGCTCCAGGTTGGGGTCACCGCTGGGCTCCGGGTCGTCCGCGGGCTCCGAGGCCCCGTGGTCCGCTCCGACGGAACTCCCCGGCAACACCTGAGAGCACGGAAGGGCAGCGGTGGTCCAAGTGGGACCGTCTCGTCAGCGGCCCGGTTCACCCCCCGTCACAATCACCGCTGGTGGACGGTCACAGATGTTCATCGGTAAAGAACCCCCCCCCCCCTCTCAGATGCGGGTCACAGATGCTGGATAACGATTGGCCCATTCCAGTGAAGGTAGCTTGCCCCTCCCCTGATCCCATCTGCTTCAATGCTGCTTCCACCTCTTCATCCGCGTCTTCTAGCACAGGGTAAGGAAGTTGCTACGGTGGTAAAGTGCGATAACGGGGTAAAAAGCACCAATCTTCTCTCTCTGACAGCCACCAATCACGGAGCGGTGACACGCGGGGTAACACGCGGGGTACTGTGCAAGTAACAAGGTAACACGTGGGGTACTGTGCTAGTAACAAGGTAACACGGGGGGTAACACGTGGGGTACTGTGTTAGCAGCGGGGTTAACACGTGGTGTCACGTGGTGACGTGTTAGTTACGGGGTAGCAGGTGTAGTGGGTGGGGGTAATGGGGGGGGGGTCACGTGATGTCACGTGGTGACGGGGTAGCAGGTGTAGTGGGTGGGGGTAATGGGGGGGGTCACGTGGTGTCACGTGGTGTCACGTGGTCACCCGCAGGGAGCAGGGGGCGTGGCCGTCCCCAGGGTAGACGAGGACCGCGCGCTGCAGCAGCTCCCCGCGCGGCACCACACGCAGGTCAAAGGTCACCACCTCGGCTACGCACCCGGGTCAAGGGGTCAACAGGTCAAGGGGTCAACAGGGCATAGGGTCAAGGGGTGGAACTATCGCACGGGGTTGTACAGCGGGGCGGGGAGTCGCGTGAGGCCGTCTGTCTCCCCAGTGGCGAAGTTAAAACACGTCGCACTTGAGGCTGAGTCGACCCAGGGGAGGATCCAGTCCGGCTCAAATAATTATCGTGACTCGGGTTGACCAGGAACGGGAATCAAACTCATTCTCACCCTTCCACCCACCCTCCCACCCACCCAACCTCCCACTCACCCACCCTCTCTCTCACCCACCCTCTCACCCACCCACTCACCCACCCACTCACCCACCCACTCACCCACCCACTCACCCTCTCACTCACCCTCTCACTCACCCTCCCACTCACCCTCCCACTCACCCTCCCACTCACCCTCCCACTCACCCTCCCACTCACCCTCCCACTCACCCTCCCACTCACCCTCCCACTCACCCTCCCACTCACCCTCCCACTCACCCTCCCACTCACCCTCCCACTCACCCTCCCACTCACCCTCCCACTCACCCTCCCACTCACCCTCCCACTCACCCTCCTCTCACCCACTCACCCTCCCTCTCACCCACCCACTCACCCTCCCTCTCACCCACCCACTCACCCTCCCTCTCACCCACCCACTCACCCTCCCTCTCACCCACCCACTCACCCTCCCTCTCACCCACCCACTCACCCTCCCTCTCACCCACCCACCCACTCACCCACCCACTCACCCTCTCTCTCTCTCACCCACCCACCCGCTCACCCACCCGCTCACCCTCCCGCTCACCCTCCCGCTCACCCTCCCGCTCACCCACCCACCCTCCCACCCTTCCACCCTCCCGCTCACCCACCCACCCTCCCACTCACCCACCCACTCACCCTCCCACCCACTCACCCTCCCTCTCACCCACCCACTCACCCTCTCTCTCACCCACCTGTGCCCGCGATGTCCCCCAGGGCTGGGCTGTTGCGTGCGGGCGTCACGAGTCTCGCCGTGTTGCCGGGGAGGGCGCTGGGACCGCCCCGCGGCCTCCCGTGCGCGTCCACCTCCCGCCGGAACAGCGCCCGCATGAAGCGCACGTGGTCGTCGTTGTCGTTGTGGTCGTGGTTGTTGTTGTGGTTGTTGTGGTTGAGAGAGACAAAGGCGGCCACACTTTCAGCATCGCCTCCTCCTGCTGCTCCTGCTGCTGCTGGGTCGTTCTCTGCACCTGCGCAGGCGGCGAGACCGAGGAAGCAGGCGACACACAGGCCGCCAGGCAGCAACAACAATCCCCTCGGCACCACCACCGCCACCATCATCATCTTCATCTCACTAGAACTATTCTCCTTGCCGCTGTGCGCTCCTCTCGCCCGGGAGTGTCTCGAGGCGGCAGCAGCAGCCGCCCGCTGCGCCACGCGGAGTTGGTTTGTCTCCGCTGCTCGCGACGTCGCCCGCTGCTGCTGCTGCTGCTCGAGACTTCCCGCAGGGAGCGCCACGTGCCGCGCCTCCATCTTTATAGCGCCACGCCGCTTGGGGGGAGGGAGGTGGGGGCTGGTGATGACGTGCGTCTGGGGGAGGGGTCACGGGGCGTGGCTAGCGGGGGGAGGGAGGTGGGGGCTGGTGATGACGTGCGTCTGGGGGAGGGGTCACGGGGCGTGGCTAGCGGGGGGGAGGGAGGTGGGGGCTGGTGATGACGTGCGTCTGGGGGAGGGGTCACGGGGCGTGGCTAGCGGGGGGGAGGGAGGTGGGGGCTGGTGATGACGTGCGTCTGGGGGAGGGGTCACGGGGCGTGGCTAGCGGGGGGGAGGGAGGTGGGGGCTGGTGATGACGTGCGTCTGGGGGAGGGGTCACGGGGCGTGGCTAGCGGGGGGGAGGGAGGTGGGGGCTGGTGATGACGTGCGTCTGGGGGAGGGGTCACGGGGCGTGGCTAGCGGGGGGGAGGGAGGTGGGGGCTGGTGATGACGTGCGTCTGGGGGAGGGGTCACGGGGCGTGGCTAGCGGGGGGGAGGGAGGTGGGGGCTGGTGATGACGTGCGTCTGGGGGAGGGGTCACGGGGCGTGGCTAGCGGGGGGGAGGGAGGTGGGGGCTGGTGATGACGTGCGTCTGGGGGGATGGGTCACGGGGCGTGGCTAGCGGGGGGGAGGGAGGTGGGGGCTGGTGATGACGTGCGTTCTGGGGGAGGGGTCACGGGGCGTGGCTAGCGGGGGGAGGGAGGTGGGGGCTGTGATGACGTGCGTCTGGGGGAGGGGGTCACGGGGCGTGGCTAGCGGGGGGGAGGGAGGTGGGGGCTGGTGATGACGTGCGTCTGGGGGAGGGGTCACGGGGCGTGGCTAGCGGGGGGGAGGGAGGTGGGGGCTGGTGAGACGTGCGTCTGGGGGAGGGGTCACGGGGCGTGGCTAGTCGGGGGGGAGGAGGTGGGGGGCTGGTGATGACGTGCGTCTGGGGGAGGGGTCACGGGGCGTGGCTAGCGGGGGGGAGTGGAGGTTGGGGGCTGGTGAGACGTGCGTCTGGGGGCGGGGTTCACAGGGCGTGGCTAGCCGGTGGGAGGGGTTGGATGGGGGCGTGGCTAACCGGTGGGAGGGGTTGGATGGGGGCGTGGCTAGCGGGTGGGAGGGGTTGGATGGGGGCGTGGCTAGCAGGTGGGAGGGGTTGGATGTGGGCGTGACTAGCAGGGGGGAAGGGTTGGATGTGGGCGTGGCTAGCAAGGGGGAGGGGTTGGATGGGGGCGTGGCTAGCGGGTGGGAGGGGTTGGATGTGGGCGTGGCTAGCAGGTGGGAGGGGTTGGATGTGGGCGTGGCTAGCAGGGGGAGGGGTTGGATGGGGGCGTGGCTAGCGGGTGGGAGGGGTTGGATGGGGGCGTGGCTAGCAGGCGGGAGGGGTTGGATGGGGGCGTGGCTAGCGGGTGGGAGGGGTTGGATGGGGGCGTGGCTAGCAGGCGGGAGGGGTTGGATGTGGGCGTGACTAGCAGGGGGGAAGGGTTGGATGTGGGCGTGGCTAGCAAGGGGGAGGGGTTGGATGGGGGCGTGGCTAGCGGGTGGGAGGGGTTGGATGTGGGCGTGGCTAGCAGGTGGGAGGGGTTGGATGTGGGCGTGGCTAGCAGGGGGAGGGGTTGGATGGGGGCGTGGCTAGCGGGTGGGAGGGGTTGGATGGGGGCGTGGCTAGCAGGCGGGAGGGGTTGGATGGGGGCGTGGCTAGCGGGTGGGAGGGGTTGGATGGGGGCGTGGCTAGCAGGTGGGAGGGGTTGGAAGGGGGCGTGGCTAGCAGGCCAATACATCAGTTAGATTTTACTCCGGCATCGAAGTACCAGCGCGCCGTGTACGCGACGATGTAGCCCGGTATGTAGCTTGAAGTGTACACGTAGTTTGAAGTATAAACGTAGTTTGAAGTACACACGTAGTTTGAGTGTACACGTAGCTTGTAGTGTATAAACGTATCGTGGTGTTGCAGTGATAGTAGTGATAGTAGTTTGAGAAGGCGGAGGGCACAGGCGGCTGCCGTGGCCGCCTCAGCCGCGGGGCGCTCGAAGGACCCCGAAAAAAGGCGCGAAACTCGCGACGGCGGCGACGACGGCGCCGCTACAGACGTTAGTGACACACACGTCGTTAGTTATACAGTATAGCTCTCAATAAAAAAAAATAGCAAGTACTGTACCTGCTTGACATGTCACAGGATTGGGGAACTGGTCAAAAACGGCAAAAACATGACTACTGTACATTGTTTTACGGACAAAAATAAAGGAACGATTTTTTATTTAATTAACAGTGTGGAACCTTGTTCTATTTAACGGAGGGGTTTCCCACTCAAAAGCTCGTACGTGTGTCACGTTTAACAACCCTGTGCAGCATAGCTGGAGAAGCCATCGAGAATGGCTGCCTCGAAGAGAAAGGCGACTGCTGCTGCAACTCCACCTGCCCGAGACGCCTTCCTGCAGAGTCTCGAGGAGGAGGAGTCGCCGTCACGGCTGCTGGAGATCGTAGAGCGACACGTGAGGGCTCTCCTCTGCCAACATGTCGCGTCCCTGTCACTCACGAGCGACGGACACTGCACTAGATTCGTACGGTTTGCTTGTTGCTGCCAGAAAGTCAGTGGAACGTGGGACGTTGTGATGTCACGGAAGAAGATAACGATGGTTACATTTAGGTGTTTATTTAAGGATGATGCGAACAGAACACGCTTTTTGTGTGTAACGTGATTATTCTAAGTTTATACTTCGCATATATAAAAAAAAAAACATCAATTTGTAAGGCGTATTCCTTCTGCAAGATTCCTATGTGCCCCGTGTATCAAAAGCAGGATATAAACAGAACCAGGGTAAACGCCCATAACTAGGGGGTGAAGGTCAATTTAAAGAGGTGAGTTTTCAAGACAGACTTAAATCTATACATAACGACTCTGATCGTCTCATTGCCAATGGCAAAGCTTTCCATAGTCTGGGAGCTGCACGGGCAAAAGCCCAATCACCTCAGGAAATGAGCCTTGACCTCGGAGGACTTAGAAGAAGGCGATTTGAAGATCTCAGGGACCTCGTTGGAGTGTAAACATGGATCCATTCCTGCAAATATTGTGGGGTTAACCCACTGAGATTTGGTCAGCAGCAGGGTCTTTTCATCCACTTGATACTTGACTGGTAGCCAGTGTAAACACAAGAAAGCAGGTGTGTGATGTGCTCGCGAAATGGTGTGTGCGTACGGACTCTAGCAGCAGCATTCTGAAGAAGCTGTCGTCTACCCAGAACCTTACTTGGAATCCTGAACACGAATACATGCATCAATTCAGTGAAATGTTACAATTTTACCTTGATATTCGATATTATTTCATATTTTGGTAAATATAATGCCTCTAGTGACTGCACAGATCACATGAAACCATTCTAAAACATACAATAATGATCGCACAAATGATGTTGTACATATACCATTAGCGTTAGAATTCGTTTCATTCTATTCAATACATCGTTACTTGCTCAGGGAATGCAGCCGAACAGTTAAATGTCATATAATCACGGTGTTTCTTGTAGAAAAGCCGCACAGACCCATTCTGCTTGAAGGAAGTGCTGGAGGAGTTGCCACTGCGCGCTCTGAAGGATGCACTTGAGAGTATCGGTAAGATACTCACTGAGAGCCTGCTGCGTTGCCCCGCTGAGCAATGGAACCCTGACCCACCGCAACACGACGACATGGAGACAGAAGCCACGGGATCGGTACTATACATCTAAATTCTGTCCTTTTACTCTTTCATGGTACATTTTAATGTGATTCATCGAATGCCTATCAACCAAATATCTCAGTATGATTGTAAACAGAAAATTACACACATTGGTGGTCTGGCTGAGATCATTAAGGCTTCTTATACTTGCAAGCCTTATTTTATCTTGGACCTGAACCAAGAATCTCAGCTTTGCTGGCTCATTGTTTTGTCAATTTTACTGCATCAGCCCATGAGCTACCAGACAATTAAAAATTCTGTATTCGTCTGATTTACCTGTATTAATATACCCAGAACATTTAATTAAATTATAGTTGCATGTCATATATTCTGAGTACTGTAGATAAAAACACGTTTTAAAGAGTATGAATGATTGTGGTAAGCATGCAAAGACATGAAAAAAATTTCAGCTGGTTTTATACACGTTCACTAAAAATACTGTGATATATTAACTCTGACAATGGATGGCACTTGTTATTTGATTGTTGATGTTAGGAGTTGTGTGGTTAAAATGTGACACCTGCTCCCATCATTATGTGTTTGCATCCAGGAGTCAACTGTAGCTGTTGTGACGGCTGTAGCCACAGTGCTATCTGTGGCTGTGAAAACTGTCAGTGCGGAGGTGATAGAAGACATTTTGGAGTCGGCTATCATTCTACATGGTAAAGAGGCAGGGTGACGTCTATGAATAATTGATACAAATTGATAAATTATTGACTATATCTGTTTCCACGACTTCTCAGTTTTTTTATAATTGGAAAGAGTAAAAGTTCGTGAGTATGTATAGTAGGAGAATGAGACCAAAAAGTTAATAAGTATCTGCTGAAAATCTCATTCAAGATACATAAAGTAGTTATTTGCCACATTTCTCTGACTTGGATAATTTATAACAGTTCACTGTTTAGAGCTGCATATCCCAATGAACACTATTGCAGTATGTTCATCTCATAAATATCTGCAAAATAAAATACTTCTTGATGTTGCACTGGGAAATGTTATGCATGCGCACTGGATGATATATTGATTTCAAGTACTGTATAGGGTAGATTACCAAAATATTGGCAATAGTTTATTTAATAATTGAGCCTACAAATTATTGTTATGCTGAATATACAGGGTGGCCCATAGGTCAAGACTGAATGGGTTATCTTATTTTAACAATTTTCAAACTGACTTCCATTAACATGAATGTACACATGAATTCTCTGTAGAAGTTATTTTTGGACTTTTTTTAGATTCACGTGTAATCTTTGACCATTCCTAAATTACGTTTTGTCTAAATTCATTCAGGGTTCTTGGTCGAATTTTGTAAACAACGGGATTGTGGTGAACCCACAGGAAGAATACAAATATATATGAATAATGATTATAGATAAATATTAACTTAAAGAATAAACTGTTTAAATGTTTTAATGCCAGTGCTAAAATAAATGAAATAACCCTATTTGTCCAGACTTTTTTGTCACCCTGTATAAAAAATGCATTCCAGGTGGTTACATCAGGCAACAATACAAGATATGTATGTTCCTGTGGTGATAATTAGTTCCAATCTACTCTACCGTTTTTCTCACCCTGTTGACAGCCCTGTTGCCACTTTTCACCGATTCTCACCCTAACCTAAGAAACACGGTCATAAACCTGTGCGAGTCTTGGTGGGAGAGAGACCTACCTGGGAAAGAGGAGCTTGGAAAGAATATGATCCTCACAATTCTGCGGTGCAATTTAATACAGCAGAGCAAAGCCTTGGTATGTAGCAATGCCTTAAATTGCAATTTATAATTTGTTGTTTTTCATGACAGTGACTTTCATTCTTGTGATTTTTTTTACTGCAATCAGTGCGTTTCTAAAGATTATTACCTGCGCTGGTTAGGCATTGCCTCACCAACACTTATTTTACCTGGAATAGCACCTTCTACAAACAGAATGAGGGTACCCCTATGGGCTCCCCCTTGTCACCAGTTATAGCCAACATGTTCATGGAAAAGTTTGAATCAAACGCCATCCAGACATCCACCCTGCGTCCTTCCTTGTGGAAGAGGTATGTGGACGACACTTTCGTCATCTGGCCACATGGCCTCCCAGCATTGAACCACTTCTTGGACCACATCAATTCTAGACACCCATCCATCAGATTCACCATGGAAGTGGAGAAAGACGGTAAACTACCATTCTTGGATATTCTGTTTAAGAGGAGGCCTGACGGATCCTTGGGACATTCTGTCTACAGGAGAGCCACCCACACAGATCCCTACTTGAAACCGGATTCCCACCACCACCCATCTCAAAAGAATTCTCTCATCAAAACGCTATACCACAGAGCCCATGGCATTTCTGACCAACACCACCTGGCCGGTGAATTAAGACATGTACATCGGGCCCTCAGGATGAACGGATACTCTGACCGCACTATCCGCCAAGCTGTTTCTCCCACCATGCAGAAACAGCCACATGAAACTCCGACCAAAACTATCACATTGCCATACATAGCAGGCGTGACCAAAAAGATCTCCAAAATTCTAAACAAGCATAAGATCCAAGTCCGATTCAGTACAGTGCATAAAATCCGTGATTTGATTCCATCTGTGAAGGATGTCGTTCCTGACTTACAGTATCCTGGAGTCTACAAATTGAGTTGCATTTGTGGTGATTGCTACATTGGAGAAACGAAACGTCATGTTTCTGATCGTGTCCGCGAACACAAGTCAGATCTGAAACACGGCAGAACTGATTCTTCGGCCGTTGCCGATCATTGCTACAACTCGGTGGGCTCTCATGAAATTGTCTTTTCTGAGACCAAGGTTCTCTGCAAACCTGGCTACCATCAAAGGTTTGTACACGAAGCCATACAAATATACAAACACAGACATAATTTCAACCGTGATTGACGGTTACAAACTGAGTAATCATTGGAAAGATGTGATTAACCATGCAAAAAAGATTTAACTACACTTATTTGCCAATCTTATTTAACAGACAACTATTACAGTTTTACCATGTTTAGTGGTGTCTCACTGTCACAGGTTGAGTCACAAGCCGTGCCTCTCCAAACAAAGGCTCAGTTTGTTATGCAGTCTATTCTTAGTCTTAAGCCTCACCTTACCATATTAATAAAAAGTATGCGGCCCTTGCCCCACCACCTTCTCCAACCATTATATAAACGGAGTGGTAGCTCCTGCAATCTCTCATTTACTTGATACAGCTTTCGTGGCTGTGACGGTACCACCTGAAGACGGAAGCTTGTGTTGCCTCCGAAACGTCGTGATTTTTATTTCATTTTATTTAACTTTTTAATGTTTTTTACCTACGTGACTTTACCGAAAAAACCTAAGAATATGAATCCTTGCAGTCACGAAAGCTTCAAATCTAGAATTATTATTTAGCTTTGAATGTAATGATACATCGCTTAAAATCGATTATTAAACTCACATTATGCATCAAATTGTCCGTATTGCAATCAACAATGTATGTGAATCGTATGCAAATTATATGGTAATGTTACATTGAAGCTAATGGAGCGAACGAAACAGTACAAACAAGAAACAATGCAAATGAGATTATGAAACTCAGATAGTTGAATTTAGAATAAAATCACTTCAGTCATTACAGATACAATTTCTGCGGGGGTAAATTGTTGCACATCTACATTTAGTTCTTGTCACGATAATATGAAGTATTTGTGTGTACTTCTAACACATGGTTGCTTGTGTTGATGTAGCTACACAGCCATTGTATTATAAATTGTCAAGTGGGACTTGGTGCTTGCAAGCCAGATAAAATGTGCCCGCGCTGAAACTGTTCTAATGCAGGGTGCAGGGATAAAGCGGTTGTGGAGCCTGCGTGAGAGCTTCCGGCTGTTTGACTTCTTGGGCAACCCACCCGAGACTGAGGAGTTGAAGGAGCTGCTGCTGCAGGGATGCATAGTGACAAATATCTACCTGAAAACCGAGGAGGTGAGAGCAGCGGACTCAAAGGCAGCAGCATCAAAGTGGTGTTCTCGTACCGTTCTTTGAAAAACCTAAGCGGAGACAGTTTAAGTACTAAATGTAAAACAAGTGAGCATTAAAGCATTGTGTTGTTACTTTTACTGGATATTTATATTGGTCATTTACAGAATCTTTGTGTATGCTGTTCAGCAATATCTTTTGAAATAAATGTCTTGGATGAATCTTTCTGGGATTTGAATAATTGTTTGTCTGATTGCGTGTAATTTACGTTTTTCAGAGTCGTCGATTCTTGTCCTTCCTTTTCGGTTTAAATGTGGATTTTATCAAGACGATTCATGCCGTTCTTAAGAAGCACCTTCCTTCTTTGACTAAGTGAGGCCATTTTTCTTTGTGCATTTTCTATATACTTGTAGATGTTTGCTTCGATGCTAAATGGTATTTTTCATAACCAATAAGCATATATTTTGGTTATTGATTACATGCCAAATGCTAATATGCTACAATTGTTTACGTTTTTACAATTAATAATGTCCAGGTAGTTTTGACATTTGGTAAATATACCCGCACATTTTTAAAATTTCCATTACTATTTCATAAACATTACTGGTGGATTTACTTATTTGCTGCAGAAATGACATGCTTTCCTCTGCTTGTCTGCCAGATTAGTCCTCAAAGTTGAACTTCATGAAATTAAGTGTAAAACTAATATGAATTTTTATATATATAGTGTATCTGGTGAACATGTTTGTATAATTAAACTTACAGAAAACTTGGTTTTATCGTTGATAGTTCAAAATTTAAACTCAGGCACGCTGGCAAGCATGAGTAGTGCTTTTTTCATCACTTTCACATTGACACAGCCTCATCACCATCTAAAGTAAACGTATTGAATACCCAGTCAGAACTATTTTTTAAATATAATGTTTACATATATTTGGCTGGTTATGTGATGTCTCCCACAGAGTGCAAGTGGGCTACTATGCTGACATTTATTTTCAAGCCTGGAAAAAGGCCACAGGCCCTTACCTGAAGGTTAGTGCTCAATTAATTAGAACACTTGTAAAAGAAAGCATGATTGCGTGAGAATATTCTGAGACTTATTTTCATATAAAGAATTAGAATACTAGTTTGCAAGAATAGTTTCATAGGTGTAAATTTCCAATGGCTGCCTAATAATTGGTGGAAAAGCCAACGTTTACATTATTTGTGGTCATTGTTTCCAAACTGCCAAATAAATATAAAAGTCCAAAATATTTTGAGCATAAGGCCACTGCCTGAATTCCTGGCTTGTAATATACTGTATAATTAAACTTACAATTAATTGTAAAGAAGAATTCATTTTAAAGCACCTGCCACACCTCAAAAAGTCTGTCTTGAACAAAAGTTATACAAATATTATATGGCTATTTCGGGAAAGTCACGTAGATAGAAAAATAACAACATAATAAAAATGAATATAAAGTGAATAAAAAATAATAAAAATATCACGACGCTTCGATTGCAACACAAGCAATCGTTTATCTACGTCTCTTGAATAAAGGTTATACAAATATTATATGGTTCTTTCGGTAAAGTCACGTAGATATAAAAAAAAAAATATCACGACGTTTCGATCGCAACACAATCGTCTATCTACGTGACTTTACCGAAAGAACCATAGAATATGAATTCCTGCAGTCACGAAAGTTTTAGATTATACAAATGGTCTATTTCAACTTTCAGGTCTTTATAAGTACCATTTTATCATTGCAGGTGATGGAGGAACACTGCATCCAGAACCTGATGGAGCACGGCGTGTACCTGCCTTACAGCTCTCCATTGAACTCCAAAGTGCGGCAGGCAAGAAAACTCTCTCCATATCTCCAACTGCAGCACAGGAGCCTTTTTAAGTGAAGTGCCTACATATGCCAGGTTCCTGTGTGGTTATTTTAACCACAGTTTATATTAACAGAAATTGAAATTCAACTAAATGACCTTCTAAACCTTGGGAGAGCCCACTGAGACATTGTTTATTTTGAATGAGAGGTAAGTGTATATAAGAAAATAACCATTGTTATATTGAATAATTTTAGTCGGAGGTAATGTTTGGATTTGTCATGTTGGGCTATAACACCAATACACTACAGCCCACCCTCGTTGCGGGATTTTAAATGGACCTCGCTGAAGTGCTATATTCTGCCTTTGTAATAATATATGCCTTTCTGCTGAATGAATGGAATATAACTCTTGACGATTTAAACCCTAGCACATTGTCCAGTGTACTGAATACACGACTGCCTAGCCTGTATGGAAAAAATATTGTAATTTGTTAATACTGAGTTCTTCTTATTCCAAATGGATGTTTTATGGGCAGGTTTTAAATCCACAGCATAGTGGAATGTAAAAAAATATATACATATGAAAATGCGTATTCAATCACTGCAGTCAATAAGTTCTAGCTGGTGTATTGATATATATTTGAATTTGCATATTTGTATATAAAATATGTACACATTTGAAAAATAATTCCTACTTATATTTTACATTTCAGACACATAACTATGAGTGGTTGTGTGAAAACCAGTATGACAGTTTTACAAGTTATCTAAAAGGTATTGACTTTATAACACTTACCAGCTTAGTCCAGCAAGTGGCAGTATTATCACTGAACTGAATATATATAATTTGATTCAGATAAGGCTGATAAGCTGTGATTGAGTAGACGGTGAGATTGGTGGGCGCTGTTGACTTTAATAATATTTGAACCGATATAAATTACAATGAGTCACATACAGGTGGAAATGCTTTGCAGGCGATAACACAGAGTGCTGTGCTTGACTCATGATTGCTTCATTATATCTCAGATGTTGAGTTACTTCCACGCTCAGAAGGTCCGCCAGGGTGTGGACGAGATGCTGCACCGACTGTACGAGCCAATCCTGTGGAGGGCGCTAAAGGCAAGTATTGGCCCTCACTCATTTTGCCAGCAGTACAGGCAGTCCCCGGGTCACGAAAGGGTTAGGGCCCCGAAAACGATCCGTAACCCGAATTTTCTGTATGTCGGAAACAACAATTTTCCCCGAAAAACAAGATACAATCCCATAGCCGGAAATAGTTGTGCCTCCCCTACCCAATTACTAGTTCGATTTCTCTCATTACTGTTTCGCGCTGTCATCCGTTTTGCTATCCCTACCTGTATCGTATATCGCTGTACATACGCTCTGCACTTCCTATGATTGTTTCATTTAATCGAATATCTACTCTAACACTACCCATAATGAAACTAATGGAACAACTGTTTATGAATACCACAAAACATTTTAATATTAATTGTTAACAGAAAGCAGTCACTTCCGAATGTCCGTTTACCATGCATTAGGCTAGGCCTAGACTTCTCCGATCGCTGTTGGCTGAGACCATAAGCAATCGAAGTGTAATTGTGTCAAATAATGTACATGCAGTAAATAACTCATGAAATAAACTTAAAATAAAAAAATGTAGCAATATAAATGTAATGAGAGCCATGTATGACTCACGTGGCGATCGGCTTGCCGGTCCCGCTTTGTAGCCAATGAGGGGAGAGCCCGGGAGCATGATCTCGGCGTGATCACGGCATGTTAGCTAAGGTGATTGGCTTGGCCGATCTTGGCCTCAGCTAATGGGAAGCCGGATCAGAGGCGTGGGTCCCGGGAGTTGACGGGGAGTGATCTGGAGTGTTTGACACTGACTACTGGAGATTGGCTTAGGGGTACCACGTGACCGAGGGGTTAAGAGGGGGAGAGACGGAGGAGTCGGGAGCAGACCTGGGAACGAAGAGAGCAGGAGCCACGCGCGTACGGGGCTCTGGGTGCCACGTGAGCGGTGCGACTTTGCTGGCTGTCTGCCCGCTTGCCCGTTGCCTGCCAGCAACGGGGAGTGTGTGTAAACTGTGGAAGTGGAAAATAAAGGACTGTTTCCAGAAGCCGTCTCAAGAAGGTTTATTACATAAACATGGGAAAAAAGAGTTATAAGCATAGAAAACAACAATTACGTGATACTACGAAAATAAAGCTCGGGCTCGGTGAAGTCGGCGTTTTAGTGGAGCGAGGCTTAAGGCGGCCCGGTAAAGTGCTATAGAAAGGATTTTTGGAGCATGTTACTCGAACACATGCTCACTAGTCCACGGCAAGGTAAGGTAAAAGGTAACAAGTAAACCCGTAAAAACAAAGTTTTTCACTATAATCCTTTATATGCGTGGCGGCTAGAGTCCTCTCGTCCTCTGGCTTGAGATGGCTGCCACCTATGGGTCAGATGATTGTCTGCCACCATTAAGCAATTGGTAATTAAATATTTAATTTGTTTTCCCTTAACAGTGTAAAATTTTGGAATTTTTTTTTCACGAAAATTAATTGTCACACACACGAGTCTGTGTGGAAAATGTCAGCTCGATTGGATCACGGGAAGTGGGTTAAAAAACGATGCGAAAGATTTGCACGGTCCTAAGCAAGCAAGCAAAACTTAATATAAAGGATAAAAAAATATATTCGCCTGTGGAGGACCGCGGGGATCGATGCCGCGACCTTTGGCATGGGAAGCGAGGGCGCTACCAACTGCGCTACTCTGCCACGGCCTTGGAGGGGTTACGCTCTGGGCTCTTACACTGTGACGTTCAGCACAAAGCCATGAATGAGTTCTATTTGAATATATGTAAAATACATTTTTTTTTGCCTAAAAAGTGTAAAATTTTGGGAATTTTTTTTCACGAACATTAATTGTCACGCACAACGAGTCTGTGTGGAAAATGTCAACTCGTTCGGATCACGGGAAGTGGGTTAAAAAACGACAAAAGATTTACCACGGTCCTGTAAGCAAGCAAGCACGCAAGCAAGCAAGCACGCAAGCGAACTTAATATAAAGGATTAAAAACAAGCCTACCTTTACCCTACATTTTACTAACGACACAATACAATCACTCTACCCTTACCTTTTACCCTTTAGCAAGATAAGGTAAAAGTTAAAAAGCAACGAGCCTACCTTTACCCCTACCTTTTACCCTTACTCCATACAAATTACCCGATTACAGGGTAATTACCGGGGGTACTACATATGAAAAAGGTTATAACAGGTAAATGCGAGGTAGAGCGCTTATTGTATAGAATACTCTCAATTGGGCATTGAGGCTGTCACGACACCGTCCTCCATAACCTCATTTAGTCGTCTTGGTCGATTGACGATCTCATCAACAACCTGATCAAGTTCGTCATTGCCATTGTCCTCAGACGAACGACGATCCTGCGCTTCTCCGGCCCGGTTAGACGGGACCTTCAGGCAGCCGGCCTTGCGACCCAGATCCCCAAGCATATGGACTGGATGAAGAGCGTCGACGACAGCGACTGGCGAAAGCATTGTGCAACTCACGCCCGGCTCCGCTATTTCGCGCGTTCGCAGGGAGTTGACGTCGTCGGCGCTCCCAAGTAGCCGCAAGGCCATCTTGTAGTGGGCAGGGAGCAGCTCTTACGTTAATGAAGGTGCTGGCGGTCCGTGACCGCCCATATGCTCAGAAAAACTATCGACTTCATCACCGTCATCGATGGAGCTGCCGACATTGCTGAATAGGGTGCTAAACAGCGACCCTCCATATGGGCAGCCGACTGCCGTCGGCGGAATCGCGAGCATGTCGAGTAGCGATTCTGCAGGACAGAGCGGATTGTGGCCTTCAGTGTAGCCAGCTTGTCTTGGTCTGTCGTTTTCGGCAGTTTGTGGATTCAAGTAGGATGCCACAATGGCGGGTTTCTTAAGCAGAAAGTCGCGGTACCGCACCAGCTCGGCCCTTCATCCCCGTCGCGGTCAAGGACTCGCTCTAAGACGCGCCTTCGCCGCGATCGCAATGACGGATCAGGTGCTCCAATCTCACTGGCACGAGATCCAATGTTACTTGCGGTCCGCGCCAACGAGGTCATGACCTGGTACAGCATTCGCAGGAATGCTTTCATGCCCTCGATGTTTGCCCACTGCAGTTCAGTGAAAGCACCGACGCCGATCACATCCTGGAAGCGCCCCATGATAATGTCCAATGGGACACGCTTCTTGATGGCGTCATCGCCCATGTCAAACGTCGAATTCCACCTGGTCGGCGAGTCCTGGTACGTCAGCTCCTTGCTGTCGAACTTGGCGATCTCGGCCTCCCAACGGTACGACTGCCGGACGACCTTGCTGCGCCTGATATTGACGAGCGCCTCATCGACTTGATCAGTTTGAGAACTTGGACGACGCCGATCTGGACCGAATGATCTGCGCAGCGAATATGGTGGCAAGTCCGCAACTGCTCATATCTGGCATCCGCGCTGACCAGGGCGAACAACGTCTTGACAGCACTGATCGCATCGGAGCCATTTTCGCTGGTGACAGCGAGCAGCTTGGTCGAGACATTGTGCCCGAGGCTTTGGAGGTGTTCAAACAGAGTGGTGCCAATGCGCTTGCCGACACCCCTTCCAGACTGCACATCGAGGATCATCAGCAGCATGGATTTCGACGCACCAGATTTGGTGTCGATCCAGTGCACCGTGACCATCCAAAATCCCTTCAGGTTGCGGTTCGACCACCCGTCAATGGTGAGCGAGATGGCGACGTCAAGGTTGGAGAAGAACGTCCTAACGAAGGGCAGCATGATGGCGTGAAGTTCGACAATCCTGCGAATGACGGTGTGGGTCGACGGGTCCTCGTATCCCTGCGTCAATGTGTGGACCAAGGTCTTCAACTTATCGCTGCCGGCGGCTCGCAAAGAGATTGCACCTTGGATAACAAAATAAACCACCGCGTTCTCAAACTTTACCAGAAGGCGATCCGGGATTGTTGGCCAGCTCAGCGTTTGCTGCATTAGGCGGCTCGCCGACGCCGACGTCCACGTCCCGACCGCGCTGCCTGGGGCGAGCGCGTTGTGCTTCTTGAGGTGGGATTTCCACCCCGACGCGTTCTTCGTGTGGGAGGAAAACCACTTGCGGCAGTGCACTGCCGCTTTCCTTGCTGCACACGAGGATCACCCTCCATACAATCGTGAGTGTGCTCCCACGGGAACGCATGCCGCTGCCTTTTTCGATTGCTGTTTGCAGCGACCCCGGAAATGCCATTGCTGGCATCCTCGACCTCATCCTCTACCTCAAGAACGTGGTCCGTCTCCATCTGGTCCGACATTGATGATTCCACTTTAAAATGGAGGCCACGGACTGCACCACGGAGCGATTAGCGAGCGGTAAATAGGGTATTTACCAGGTAATACTTTGCGCTACTTTTACCCTACCGGGTAATTCTTCCGTGCTACCTTCACCCTACCCTTTACCTTACCCCTTGGCGTGGTCGACACCTTTACCCATTTACCCGGTAAAAATTGTAAATTACCTTACCTTGCCGAGACCTAATGCTCACTCCTATGTACATCCTATTTGACGTATTATTGTAAATTGGTAAATATCAGACTGGTGAACTGAAAGTAAATACATCTGTGCATTATTTACTAATTGTTGCACTTGCATCTTAAGCAGGCCAGTTTCAAATATGGGTTAAAAATGTCATTCCTCTTGTTCAAATATTTAAATGTTTAGTCAGTAGTGCGATTATCTGAGTGCGTTGAGCCTGTCATTGGAAACAGTTCATTCCACAATTTGTAACACTTATATTGAATCCAAAAGTATTAATTTTTCAAAAAACATCATGATTGCTTCACAAGTTTTTATGCACATTTAACAATCACACCGAAAAGTTGTTTCAACAATGTGAATTTGCCCTCTTTTCTCATATATGCAATTACTCTTCAAACAGGTTTAACTGAATTGAAACTGTACTATTACATCATGCAATTTTGTCCTATTTTACAAAAGAAACTGTTTCCAAAAG